ATATTTTTTTTTTTTGATTAATAAGTGTTGTTATCGATTCGTGTCGAAAGTTGTTCTTGATTTTCAACATTCTTCCGAGAATTCATTTAATCATCATTGCTACAATATTTACAAATTTAATATGAAATGTTGAAGTACTTAAGTATTTCTTTCTACAATGGAACAAATCGACGATGGCGCACTTGTACCTGTGTCCGATGTCAAACGTAAAATACATCATTCTTTCCCGACGACAATCGCGACGTCTTCTCTATTTTGTTTCTTTAAATATCTATTATGCGATTCGCATAGATTATATTTTACTTTTCTTAAATTAGTGAAATTGAAAATTTAAATCGACACGATTTCGATAAATCATTTTTTGACGCTATAAGAGTATAAAAGAATCGTACATGACTTAAAATAAATAATAAAGATGAATAAAAATAATAGATAAATAGTGAAAAGTTATTTTCACGCGCGATGTTTGTAGCGTCGAGATTTGAACTTGCCGAAATTATATCGATTTATATCATTTAGGAAAAATGATTAGATTCTCGATGGATCATCGCGGAAATTATGCATTGCACTTGGGCCTTCTTAGTGTTTTATGCAGCAGTCGAGACAATTCGTCGTCGGTGAATTGATTGCGTTTGGCATGTAATTGAAAATGCCTATTTATAATCGGCAATTAATAACAACTTAGCGATAATTAATCCTGAATGTGTCGATGTGTATAATCTTACAATAAACGGTAAGCATCGTCCCGGACAGCTTGTCCTTCCCTTAAATATATTAAGGCGGTGTTATTAATGCCTTCTGATTTTGACATTTTCGAGTCGAACGCATCGTATCTAAACATTCGTATAACGTAACTTATGTTAGAACTGCATTTGAGATCTTTGTTAAATGTTTGGCATATGTAAAAGAATAAAATTATATAAGTTTAAAAATAAATAATAGAGATTATTTCATATGTATATAAGTAAAAAATTTATATAAACAAATAATACAATTTTCCACACGAATAATTTTAATTTTCGTTCGATTTGATTATGGCCAAAATGAAACTGGAAAATATTAATGACATTGAATGTATTATATGTTTCGCCTGGATTTTAATCGATCTCTTTTCCCTCTCACAAAAAGAATATGATCTTTCTTATTTCTCGCTCAATAAGGTCCAAAACATATCACGACAGGTCCATTTCGTCTTCCCGTTTCATTTCCGATTTTCAACAAAGGAACCAAACAAAAATACGTCTCATCTATACAAAGTAAGACAGCGGGATAATATATATATAATATACGCGGAGAAGTGATTATATAATATTTTTATAGGTCTTGCATAAGAGAAACGATGCAATGAAAAATTAAATGATAAAATTAGATAATTGAAGAATCGATTATCTTCTTCTCGCTCAATAAGGTCCAAAACATATCACGACAGGTCCATTTCGTCTTCCCGTTTCATTTCCGATTTTCAACAAAGGAACCAAACAAAAATACGTCTTATCTATACAAAGTAAGACAGCGGGATAATAATTGAGGTCATTGGGTAAATCGAGAATTCACCTTGCGCTTACACAGGCGCAGTACATGGCTAGCAAATGGTCAGTAAATACCAATGGAGAGAGGCAAAATCAATATTATCAACAATGAAGATCTAATGACATTTTTGTATTTTACTTTTAGACCATCAGATCAATTTTTTTTATTCTAAATGTTATAGTTTGCATTAGGAACGATGAATTAAAGATTCGTTGCTGACTGCGATCAGTTTGCGCTGAAATACGCGATACAATTTGTCAAAAATACGCAAAGCCAATAAGGAAATGCAGATCAGGTTGTTACTCCGAAATGTTATCGATCGAATGTTTCCGAAAGAAGCACTTTTAGAAATGAAAATTTAAAAAATGTAAAGTAGCAAGTAGATAAATAAAACTATAAGAGTTGTAATGTAGATGAGACATTTCTTTTAAGATGTTGAATCCTCGGAAGCACTCTCTTTCTTTTTCTATCACGTCTTCTTTCATTTTTCTTAGATCCTTTGTTGAGAAAGCTAAGCAAATATTTTTAGCTGTTTGACTTGTCTCCCTATCGGTTCTGTATATGCTCGATATTAGTGCGCAGTCAATCAAATTAGTCGAACATGTAAGCGTTTGTTCGCGCTTCGTGGGGTTCGCTGCGCGATCAATCTTTTTCTTGACTTGCAAGATGACAGACATATTGAATTATATATATAAAAAATGATACATCTTAAATACGTCACAAGGAAGCAAAGGCTGAGAAAAAATATATTTTTTATATTTCAATTTATCTCAAGCAAAGAGATCTCTCCATTTTTTCAAACTTAATTTTCTCGAGAAAGAACACAGAGTTTTGTAAAAAAAGTTTTATAATTTCTATTTATTTTTTATTTTGTATACGAAATATATAAATTAACAATTTATTACGATATTTTATGATAATATTTTTTATAGTTATAATTTTTATATTTCTTGATACGTATTCTGCACAATGTTCATCAAGAGATTTTTTCGCAAGGATATTTGGATTAAAAATATTTTTGATTAAAAAATTAATCGAATAAAAATTGGTCGAGCAAATTATAAAAAGTTTTAATCTCGTCGCGAAAGTACCACGAAGTTTAGATTAGGTTAAAACGGCGGGTAACGGCGTTCACAAAATTTCTTTAATCTGGTTTGCCGATTTCTTCAAGTTTTGAAGAAAATAGCAACTAGATCAATAGGTTAAAGTTAAACGAAGAATCTGAAGAAATTGTGAAGATAAAATATTTTCTCTCTGGCAAATTGATAACTGCTAGAAAAGAGAGATTAAGAGAAATGTTACTATTTATTCAAAATTATTCGCATAATTTCGCACAAATACACGTATGTGCGCGAATGTGAAAGAAAATAATGTCAGAGATTTGAGGAATTTGTTATTACTTCATTTATCAAGCAAATCTGTTGATTATTGAAATTTTGAATTAAATTAGCGAGACATGTGTGTGTTGATTAAAACGAATATGAAAGGCGGTTAATTCTATAACAGTTTTATAACTTTTTTTTAGTAATTCTATTATTTTATAAGAAAGATTTAACGATAAGAAATTGCAAGAGCTTTTGTATGCTCTTGTAAAATTTTATGACAAATGAGATTAGGGTTGTGCGACCGACCGCCCGCTGCTGTCGAAAGTCTATTGGACCACTCTATATAATATGTGCTCTATACCTATATTTTTCTAGACAGGCCCACGGTTTTGGTCTGCAGAGTGTTATTTACACGCCTACATCTTACGTACCTATCTATCGTTTACGATTGACCTATCGCGAACTCCTGAGAGAAAGGTCGGAGTCTGTTCAAATTCATATCAGTATGATGTTCACGATCAAAGACCTCGACGTTCCTTTTACGTTTTTACACAAGCGCGTTTATGATTGATGATGAACACGATTGGATAAGGTGAAACTTGTACGTTCGTTTAAAAGGAAACTAAAAAAGGCGGACATAAATCTTATTTCTCTCTTTACCTCTAGAAATCTTGCATAATTAAAAAAATTCGAATATATCAAATTATGCTAATTTCTCCTCAAAAATATCAAAATTTAATTAAATATATTTAATTAAGCTTTAATTAAGCATTTTTAGTCTTTGATCTAAAAATGTCAAAAAAGGTATCATTTTATATCAAAATATGAAATAAATAAAAATAAATTTCGAGTTAAAATTTTGTTAAAGAAAAATCATATATGTATATATATACATATATATAATATATATACATATATACATATTCCATATATATTGTATATATGTATATATATAGAAATTTTTTCCTGGCTTTAACGTTTGTGAATGGCAAGTTATTAATAATGTTCATTAGTAATCCTTTTTAAACTAATTATATAATGCTAATTATATTATCCAATGTTTATATAGAAATCGATGGCCGTCTTCCACTTCAATATCTAATGATCGTACTCGTTAAATGCTTTGAACCATTAATTATAAAGCTATACATACAATGTGTAAATTGTAGTTGTGCATTAATAAAAGTAGCGGATTTCTGCTTTCTTATATATTAATGACAGAAAACTGATACCATAAAAATTAATTAATTCATTGTTGATTAATGATAAATAAAATTATTAACATGGCATTATACATGTTATCTTTTACAACTTGGATTTTATTAACAGTATGTTAAAAAATATGTGACATCTTTAGAAAGACCATTAATTGAAAATTCTTCGAGAAAGATATTCAATATCGTTAATATGATCGCATATAAAAGCATTTTATTACCATTCTATTATGGTTTTTATGTCAATAGCTATAATAAAATTTTCTCTATATTCAAACGTATATTTATATAAAAAGAAAAAAAAAATGTTTAATAAAACGTTTAATAAAAACGCATTTTTAACGCGTGAAATAAAATTTAAAGAGATAAATCGTTCATTTGATACGGTTGCAAAGACGTATTATATTGTACTAAATGCACATAATTTTATTTATATATCAATTGACTAATAATTGCATAATGTAATCATTTTTTTATAGGTTTGTTAAAAATATTATTATTGTTATTAATGTTAAGATATACATGAAATAGTTTATTTACATATTGACCAAGCATTGTGCGCTAATTATTGGTTGGTGAACAGTATTTTCGATCGTCCTCTCTCATGAGTTGTACGAAATTTTGGCGCGCGTTATAATATAGATATAAGATGTAAATGCGCGTCTGTGTGCGTGTATGCGTGTACGTGCGTATATGTCTACGTTTAAATACGTAACCAGATGTATATTGTATATTCGTCTCGCGCTGGTCGACGCGGCGATGTATTACTCGTAATAAAAAAAGATTCAATAAATGTGTGTTTAATTATGAAACATTACGCACTTTAATTTTCATAATTAAATATGTGTTCAATTATAAAACATTCGCATTTCAATCATTTTTAACATTTAAGATGCGACATGATTCACGCGATGATATTATTTAGGGCAAGATTTTTCTAGACTTCCTCGTAAAAAATAAAATAGAGAAATGTTGGCATTAATTTATTTTTTAAAATATTTTGTAATTTATAATTTATATTTTAAACCTAAAAAAACCACTTTTTTTGTTAAATAATTTGAAAATTTCTACAGCATTTCTACTATTTTTAAACACATTTTTCATGCTTTCTTTTGTTTTTATAGTTTAAAGCCCAAAAATATCTGCTTTGTATGACATTGGTTTATCTAATCCTGTGTTAGATCACAATTCAACGTTATCGTTTGACGCGTTTCATTAAGGAAATTAATGTGGCTTTCAGGCTAATCGAATGACAATATTACAGTGGTAATATCGTAAAGTGGTAATTGTCAAGTTATTAGCAAATCAAGCGTTTATTATTTCATATCGTCTTTTATCACATTTTCCCTAAACGGAATGAAAAATGATGTCTCTTAATTTGATGCTAATATATTGTACATACATTATCTTCGGTGATTATAAGCAAAAATTAATATTCGAAAATGCAATAATCGATTTATATCCGATTGAAGCAAGTTACTTTTAACTAACTTAAAATAAATTATCTAATAAGCGATTTTTACAAAATATATTAGTAAAAATATCAGTAATATTGTCCAATCTGTACATTTTTAAAGATTATTAATTTGAATGAGGTGATTTTCCTTTCATAAGAACTAGTTCTTGTTTCTTTTTGATTATTATGTTCTATCGACTGTGTTCGATTTGGCGTATATTGTTCCCATAAATTTTCGCGAAGAACTTTGTTTTTCATATAGAATAGGAGGCTCGGCGCAACACGCCGGATGATTGGGAACTGGAGCGAAATATTTGCTTCTCGCTTCGAAGGTTTCTCCACAATTTCGGTCGTTTATCTAGCCTGCGATTTTTCATACACGATATTTATACACTACACTATTCATATGGTACAACTAGAACGCGTGAATGATATTTTAGATATGTAACAAATTTAAACTCGATCCTTTTTTAAAATTTTCTTTTTTTAAGCAAGAGTCGAAACTTTGAACAATATATACACGCGAGAGCTTAACTTAAAGATATTGACGAAGATTAAATAAAATAATGATAAAGTCCGATTTTGTGCGCATCATCTGTAATTATCCAAAAGTTTTTAAAGATATATTTGGATTGTATTTTGTATCGTATATTGTATATTGTATTTCCTTATATGCACATGTGCTAGTTTTCGTATATCATCATGTGCATCAGAGTTGCGTCAGGGAGACACAGAATAAACCTATTCTTTCATTTGCCTTGAGATACGCGTATAAATACCTCTCCATCTCTCCACCTCTCCACGTAAAAGCATAGAACGCGCATCCCTCCACTGAACTGCAAACAGCCCTTTGAATGCCATTATCCTGCCTACGTCCTACGTTGTTACTACTTAACGTTACGTCCGCAAATGTGGCTCCGTTAGATAACGAAAGCTGGCCGTTGTTCCCGATCGGCTTTGCCGACAACGGCTGTCTGTCGGAGAGTCGAGTCCGTTATGTGTCAATTTAAACTTTGACCTACCAGTACCATTCCGAACCGCTTCCAATAAACCACCTACGCTTTTGTCTTTCAACTTCATGCATTATCATGGAAGAATTTTGTTCAAATAGAATTTTACATACTATTTTTATAGTTTTCAAGAAAAATCATTTCAAAAAAGAAAAAAAAGAAAATGTGATTTTTGCGCAAATGACAATCTATTTATAATAATTATAATAGCAATATACAAATGCTGAATTTATAGTGTGCGAATAATAAATATTGAAAAATGCGGGTTATAATATTTTATAGAAAATATTATAATTAATACAAATATTTAATTATAATTAGATATTTTATTTCACAATAAAATGTGTAGTAGGCGTATTATATTACGCACTATATTACGCGACGATTTTAAATGGAGCACTATAATTTATTTTGTTAAATATTTATTTGAAAAATGAATTAAAAGTTTGCGCGTAATTAATTTCGTAAGTATTATAATTCGTTTTTTTTTTTAAATCTTTGTGCCATACAATTATATTTTCCTTGTTTCCTTGCAAGAAAAGTTGCCTGTATGATAAATGAGACACTATGACGCGCGTTGGATTAGCTACGTTAATCCTTATCGACATTAAGCGGAAAAGAAATATGCCACTAGGAAAGAGGGCAAATCGATATCGCTACTCTCCTGTGAATCTGTGCATATATAGAAAAGTGTGATTGTGTTATATACGCTTGTGATACTGCTTTGTGAGAAATTGCGTCTTACGGCCATCATAAAAGAACGCCCATGTATCTCGATAACAATGCTGCAAAAAGAATAAAAAATTCTTTTTTTTTCCTTTTTCTTTTTTCCTTGCAGAAATATGAGATTTTATAACAATATGTATACTTTTAATGATTCATCTGTGCGGAGTGTCATCTAGATTGATTTTCGTCCTTCGAAACCCTGTAACACCGTTGATAAAATCACTGACTAGATGCTAGCACATATATTAACTGTAAGTAACTATCAGTTATTTATTTTACGGGGATTAAATAGTAAGGGCTTTCAAGCACTGACATCTTCTCGGTAAATAAGCTGAAATAAGTTAAATATATAATAATTACAAAAATGCAAATATATATAATATAGCACCGAAATATAGCACCATAAATATGTGTACATACTTGTGAAATTATGAGGACAATTTTAAATTGGACGGAATATTATAAATTAAATGTTTGATATTTATATTGTAAATAATTAAAAAAACAAATAATAAAGAAAACTGAGTGACCATCGTCGGCCAACAATATCTTAGTTCAGGACACCGTTGACAGGTAGCTGCGGCGCCACAACGTGGAGAAGCATTCTCGAGAGAAGCTTCAGTAGCGGTCTGTACCGCCGCGTGTGAATGTTTGAATTCGGATTGATTCGCGTCGTCGATATATCCGGTATGTGACATACGTGAGTGTATCTTGATCTGGAGATTTGAAGAGAAACGGAAATCGCAAGACGTTCCTGCATTCGTGATTTTGATTTATCGCGAATCTCTGAATTTTTTTTACTTTGCGCTGATGAACACGCACGAGCAGCAGCTACACGCGGGTAAGCGTTTGGTCGCCCCCATTATTAGAATCAGACCATACTCCGGATCGATACTGATTCTCTGTCTCTCGCTGGATTCCGCACGACGGATGCTGTGCGAGAATTCATGTCTCCCATTGCAGAAAATAGCAGATAATAATATCAGAAATAAATTTGCACAATTTAATTGATAATTTTGCATCGTGTTGGATTATTTTAAGAAGATGCTCTTTTTTGACAAGTTGAAGTAAAGAAACATTTATTTTTATTTGTATTTGCATATACTGTACTTGTTATTTATTACTCGTAGATTATTTTTATTATACTATAATGTTTCTTTATATTTTTAGACCAAAGAGATCATATATATATGTATTTATAAAAATAAAAATTTTATTTTGATTTTTTTCGACTTAATATAATTTAAATTTTTGATCTTCAATTATTAAATAATAACAGTTATTAAAACCTTTTTCTGTCAATTCTTTAAGTAAATGCAATAATTAGAGAGAAAAATGTATCTTGAAAAAAAATTTTGAACTAATGAAAACATATTACAAGGAGAAATTTAAAGAAAGCAAGAAACAAACCAGTCATTAGATTTTTCTCTTTTTACGATTTTAAAATTGATATGATTTGAAATTCAAATTCTCAATTTTTTTGATGAATAATTCATTTTTTATCATATTTTTTTTTTTGAGAAAAATCGAAATGTAACAGTGCATAAATATTATAATACGGAATGTGTGAAAATATATTAAATTTTGTATCTGCATATCATATATAAATCACAAGCATATATAAAAAGTCGAGAAATGAAGAAATCTTTTTCCTATTCGCGGTAGTTATAAATTCATGTGTAAAACCCGCAATTTAGTTGTTTCATTCTGCATCATTGTTCGGTACAAAATTGAGTTCCGGGTTTTCCGGCAAACGTTCCGCAAAAAAAAATAAAATATGTATAATATATATATATACCAATATTATATATGTATGTGGGAGAGAAAAGATGACTTTGTGGCATTTAAAAAGTAGGTCTTCGTCGAGCAATGGTATGCCGTGTATTGCCTTGAGCAATGCATTGCCCGGGGAATTTCAATGAGGATTCAGCATTTTTTGCTTCCTTTGGCGCGTTGCATAAGACTATATGCCATTTTCCCTCGTTGCATCCGGTTCCATTTATCCTTGCGGCACACAACGCGTGCAAAATTATGTTAATTACCGCGCGGGCTTATCAGTTATTGGCAATCGTGCAAAATTGGCCGCGATTGGTTGATCTCGGTGAGCATGTTTGTTACTGATCGATAAGAGCATCGCTTATATAGGTCCAGCGCATTAACTAGAGTTAATTCGCAATTGCTGTACGACTGAATTCGTGCGACGTAACTGTTAAAGAAAGCAACGTATAAATAGTAGCATTCTTTTATTTCAATTCTTAATTTTTTGATACAAAAATAAAAATTAGATATTGAATATTTTACAACTTTATTCGAAATAATTTAATTTAATTAGATAATTTATAATGATATATACGTTGAACAATAAATTTTAAAACAAGACTAGGTTTAAGTAAACGTGTGAGTTTTGCATATATTTTTTGTTATTATTATATTTAAATTATCTGAAAAAAGCTAAATTTTGATAAAGAGAGATAAAACAAGCAAGGGAAATGGAATAATTTATATTGCTAAAATGTTTTTACGCTTTCGTGTAACATATAAATTTTACGTATCCCTGGTTGCTGTACCGGCAAATTAATGTCTTTCGCGGATTTCTCATATGTCACTAGACTATCCTACTTTCTAAATGGCAGAAAAGAAGCGAGTAAGCTGAATACTCGTG